ATTTTTACCACAAATTTGTGAAAGTTTTAACCGGTGTATATACTTAAAATATGTTAATAAAGTTCATGTCTTTTTCAGGACTTCTGATCCAACCATGTAGTATGGCATGTTTGTGAGATATGGTTTTGGCCAGTAGGATGTTCATGAAGGACCTGTAGTACAAAGTATATCACTGGATTGAGCTCATTGTCTAAGTGTATTATTAAAGTGCTTTGCTTTGAGCTCAGTTCATTGTTATGCAATTCATTCTTTGTGAAATAAAGATTTGACAGACATCTCTCATGTACAAGGAATTGTCAAAGTAGTATCCATTCTATGTACAATGTAAGTAATAGGGAGATAAAAGCATTTTATTTAGATTTGAACCAAACATTTTTTGTCCATTAGCCAAATTAAAAAAAAAAGCACAAATTCACCAAGCAATGCTACTGGCGCAACTAGCAATATGATGCTAGGTTCTTTTGTTACACTTTATTTTTATGCCCTCGCCGTAGCGGAGGGGGCATTAAGTTTTACCCTTGTCCGACTGTACGAACGTACGTACGTACGTCCTAAAATTGGTTTCCATTCTCTAACTTTAGTTTGCCTCAACCAAATGTTATGAAACTTATACGCAATGCTTATTACCACCAAACACAGATCAAGTTTGAATTTTGGTAGCATCACTTTTACCGTTCTAGAGTTATGCTCCTTTAAAAATGGAAAAATTGTTGAATTTTTCGTTTCCGTTCTCTAATTTTAGTATGCCTCAACCAAATGTTATGAAACTTATACCCAATGCTTATTACCACAAAACACAGATCAAGTTTGAATTTTGGTGATCCGTTCTTGAGTTGTGCCCCTTTATAAATGGAAAAATTGCTAAATTTTTATTTATTCTTCTAAATATCAAGTAATTTTAAAATTGGAGTTATCTTCCTTTGTCCATGATTATAGTTGAATCAACTACAATCAATGCTTTATTCAATGCAATGTTTAATTTTGATTTCCACTGTTAAAATACAGATCAAGTTGAATTTGGGTAGGGTCACTTTAACCATTATTGAGTTATGCCCCTTTATAAATCGAAAGATTGCTAAATTTTTAGTTTCCATTCTGTAACTTAAGTTTGCCCCAACCAAACATTATGAAACCTATACACAATATTCATTACCACAAAACTAAGATCAAGTACAAATTTTTTGTTTCCGTTTTCTAACTTTAGTTTGCCACAACCAAATGTTATGAAACTTATACACAATGCTTATTACTACATAATACAGATTAAGTACGAAATTTGGTGGCGACACTTTTACCATTCTTGAGTTATGTCCCTTTATAAACATAAAAATTGCTGAATTTTTCGTTTCTGTTCTCTAACTTTAGTTTGTTTCAACCAAATGTTATAAAACTTATACACAACCGTTTTAGAGTTATGCGTGTTTACAAATAGAAAAATTGCTGAATTTTGAGTTTCTGTTCTCTACTTAAGTTAGCCTCAACCTAATGTTATGAGACTTACACACAATGCTTATTACCACAAAACTCAGATCAAGTTCAAATTTGGGTAGCGTCACTTTTACCGTTCTTCAGTTATGTCCCTTTATAACTATATGATATGCAAGCGGGGGCATCATCTGTGTCCACATGTGGACACTATCCACATTTTTTTACATCTGTACTGCCTACTGGCGACTCAGTCCTGAGTGTAAATGGTCATTCAGTATGTTAAGAAAAAGACCAAAATTTATAAGGCCTATCTGGCCTAATTGATTTCTAAAATATATTTCATTGTACATGTTCAACATTTATCATTCATTTGTTTATTTCTTAATTTGTGTGAATTAACAGTAAATGTTAATTACTACACTTTCATACCATAACAAAACTGCCTTACTGTATTGGTATCACTTATAATTTGTATCCATATAACAAAAAAAAATGAAAAGAGAATACTTTTGCAATAGCTTTTTCATATTGAATACTAAAACTTTTTAGATATTTAGACATATTAAGTAGATGTTCATAATATCCACTTGACATTTTTTCATATGACTTCCGTAGTTAGTTATGAGTCTTTGAAGCATGCTCACAAAGGTTCTTTTGTTGATATCATTTTCATACTGATCAAAACTTTTTTTTGCTTTGACCAGCTTTGGAGGAGATATTTTCAAAGAATTAATAAAAAATAACACAGAAATTCACGTTCTAGCTCATCTAGCCCCAATCATCATGTCAGGCATTGTCATTACTAAAAAACATTAAATGTCTTCTAAACTGAGAAACAATTTCCACATTTAACCGAAATCTTTTACTTATGATACTGACAATCCCCCACAAAGTAATATAAATAGAACCATACAAATAGTAAGCAAATACATGTTCTCAGATACCATCTCCCATATAAAAAAATCACATTGAGAAAAAAATGAACCTATTATGTGTTCCTCTCCTAGCTACAAAATGTATCCAAAATCAAAGATGTGGAACATATATATTCTATCATAATCATTTGGTAATTAATGCAATTAGTATCTCTTCCATGCCCGTGTTGAACATAAAAAACTAAATATTACATAAACAACACCCCTAATGCTCATGTTGGTTGTCATTGTGCAACACAGTTAATACATAGAAAACATAAAACATAGAACTCCTTTTGTCATATAAAACACTGTCAAACATCCAATCATACTATCCACACTGATCTGTGTCCACACTTGTTCAGTATACAAGATATTTTTTTGTAAAATAAATAAAAAAACGTAATACATGTACTGGAAATGTGTACTTTTTTTTATAATAACAGCAGTTCCAACTTCTCGTCTATTACGTAGTTTACGGAAACTATCGATTGATTGAATGGTTATGAATGTCCAGTAGCAAATATTACATGCACACCAGGACGAGAATACGTTGACGTGATGTGAAAATGAAGTATTCGTGTTGTCAAGACCTACATACTTGGTCAATTTTTGAACTAGTTCACAAGGTAACAGTCGTTATTCCCGGATCGATACGAGTTGAAAAGTCTTCGTTCTAGTAAGATGTGTACTTTGGGGCGAAGCGGAAAATAATAATTTTCAAATTTTTTTGTTAACCCTAAAGGGATTATATGTTGTTTTTTGCACTCAAGGCTAGTATACGTTATGGTGGTGGTAGCGACAATTATGTAGCTGTTTTTCTAAACAATGTCCGTAATATAAAAAGTTCCACTATGTTTACACCAGTTGTATGTATTTATCGTACACATACATGTCTTACAGGACTAAAAATTTCGCTGCATGTTTATTCTTGCTTTTATTCTTTGTGTAGTTTTTAAAATACAAACATAGAAAGACCAATTCCTATAAGGTAACTTTGTACCCCTCTCTCTCTTTTTTTTTTTTTTTTTTTGTGAAAACGACGTGGATGCACGTGCTGTCATGCTTCCGGGTAGCTACGCCCCTGCTAGTTCCCTCTTTGATATATAATCAGATTGGCCACGTTATTACTGGTGACCTAAACACTGTCAATAACACTTCGGCGCGAAATGTGTTATCCAAAGACCAGAAATACCGTGAGCATAAATCCATCAATTGGAAACACAACTTCTAAATACTGATGGATTCAGTCGAGGATTATGCAAGGCAATGGGTTAAAAGCGAGAAAAAAAGACATATATACTCTTTCCGCATGGATGAAGGCTGTGAGGTCGTTGATACAATGTAACAAATCAGAATTTAAATATAATGCTCCGCAGGGCGCAGCTTGATACGACCGCAGAGGTCGAACCCTGAACAGTTGGGGCAAGTATGGACACAACATTCAAGCTTGATACAGCTCTGAATTTGGATTGTGATTAAATATTTGACACAGCATAGGTTACTGACACAGAATGAATGTGGTCTAAGAACTTAAAATTTTTAAATTGGACATTCACCTCACCTATTATGGTCCAATATCCAAAATCTAAATACATGGTTAGATTCAGCATATCAAAGAACCCCAAGAATTCAATTTTTGATGAAATCAAACAAAGTTTAATTTAGGACCCTTTTGACCTCAATGTGGACAAAGCTGATAACGGGGCCCAAAAATCAAAAATCTAAATACATGGTTAAATTCAGCATATCAAAGAACCCCATATATTCAATTTTTGTTGAAATCAAACAAAGTTTAATTTTGGACCCCGATTTGGACCAACTTGAAAACTGGGTCCATAATCAAAAATCTAAATACATGTTTAGATTCAGCATATCAAAGAACCCTAAGAATTCAATTTTTGTTAAAATCAAACTAAGTTTAATTTTGGACCCTTTGGACCTTAATGTAGACCAATTTGAAAACAGAACCAAAAATTAAGAATCTAATTACACGGTTAGATTCGGCATATCAAAGAACCCCAATAATTCAATTTTTGATGAAATCAAACAAAAAGTTTAATTTTGGACCCTTTGGACCTCAGTGTGGACCAATTTAAAAACAGGCTCAAAATCCAAAAACTTAATGCACGGTTAGATTCAGCATATTAAAGAACTCCAAGAATTCAAGAATAAAACCCCATTGAAATTGGTCAAGAAATAAGCAATCTATACGAAGTATCTTCTTTTGCACAATACTGTGCAATTGAATATTTCTTGCTATTGCGCAATACTGTACAATTGACAATTTCTTGCTATTGCGCAATATTGTGCTATTGGATATTTCTTGCTATCGCGCAATACTGTGCAATTGAAGATTTCTTGCTATTGCGCAATACTGTGCAATGGAAGATTTCTTGCTATTGTGCAATACTGTGCAATTGAAAATTTCTTGCTATTGCACAATACTTATTATATAATAATTTACACATCCTGTTTGGTGTGTATCTCCTACCATATCATTATTATTTGCTTTTAAATATAAATCAGAAATAACCAACTTAAAATGGAAAATTTTAAAAGAAAAAAAAAAGGAAACCCCCCCCCCAAATTGTTTGAAACCCCTTATGATTCATCACCCCCAAACTCAATCACAGCCTTCCCTTTGTGGTATGGTACCTTGCAGTACAGTTTCAGAGAGATCCATACACTTGAACACAAGTTATTGTCCTGAAACTAGAAAAATGCTTGTTTTTTCCCTTTTTTGGCCCCTAATTCCTAAAATTTTGAGGCAATTACCCCCAAAATCAATCCCAGCCTTCCCTTTGTGGTATGGTTCCTTGCAGTACAATTTCAGAGAGATCCATACACTTGAACACAAGTTATTGTCCTGAAACTAGAAAAATGCTTGTTTTTTCCCCTTTTTGGCCCCTAATTCCTAAAATTTTGAGGCAATTACCCCAAAATCAATCCCAGCCTTCCCTTTGTGGTATGGTACCTTGCAGTACAATTTCAGAGAGATCCATACACTTGAACACAAGTAATTGTCTGGAAACTAGAAAAATGCTATTTTTGGCCCCTTATTCCTAAAATTTTGAGGCAATTACCCCCAAACTCAATTCCAGCTTTCCCTTTGTGATATGGAACCTTGTAGTTCAATTTCAGAAAAATCCATACACTTACACACAAGTTATTATCAAGAAACTAGAAAAATGCTTGTTTTTTGCCCCTTTTTTGGCCCCTAATTCCTAAAATTTTGAGGCAATTACCCCCAAAATCAATCCCAGCATTCCCTTTGTGATATGGAACCTTGTGGTACAATGTCAGAGAGATCCATACACTATTGTTTTTCTTTAATTGTTTAACATTTCTTACCGATATAACATGTTACTTTTATTATTCTTCCCTTAGTTTATTTAATTTGTATTTACATTGTGTCATAGGTCAAATTTATTTGTTCAGTGTATGTTCAATGGTGTTAATATGTCCTTTGATTGAGTTAAGCTATTTCAGTTGATATTTTATAGTGTGTCCTTCTATGTTGTGATGTAACACTATTGTTTCAGAAAAAGGGTGAAGGTTTGGTACCATTAAAACGTTTAAACCTGCTGCATTTGTTTGCACCTGTCCTAAGTCAGGAATCTGATGTTCAGTAGTTGTCGTTTGTTGATGTGGTTCATAAGTGTTTCTCGTTTCTCGTTTTTTATATAGATTAGACCGTTGGTTTTCCCGTTTGAATGGTTTTACACTAGTAATTTTTTGGGGCCCTTTATAGCTTACTGTTCGGTGTGAGCCAAGGCTCCGTGTTGAAGACCGTACTGTGACCTATAATGGTTTACTTTTATAAATTTTGACTTGGATGGAGAGTTGTCTCATTGGCACTCATACCACATCTTCTTATATCTACTAACACACAAGTTATGTCTGGAAGTTACAAAAATGCTTATTTTTGGCCCCTAATTCCTTAACTGTTGGTACCATAACCCCCAAAATCAATCCCAACCATCCTTTTGTGGTATTGAACCTTATGGTAAAATTTCACGGAGATCCATTCACTTAAACTAAAGTTAGAGTGCGAAAACCAATGTGTCTTCTGACGACGACGACGACGCCAACGTCATACCAATATACGACCAAAATTTTTTAAATTTTTGCGGTCGTATAAAACTGAATGGGTCTATGAATACACATTATAGACACAAATGTAAGGCACCTGTCCTACCTCCATGACAAATATGTTGTTGTTCCGGCAAAAAAGCCTTGAACATCATCGTTTTTGTGTGTAAATCACATTACATAAACTACTTGATAAATGAATTAGGTATTGACAATTTACTTGGAAACTCAACATATACCCCCACGACACTTACATTTGTACCAAGGAGGAAATCCTGGATAACTATAGGTCTGTTCAATGTTGCTTTGGAATTTATACCAAAGATGAAGAACTGGATCTTCCTTCACTGCATTGGATACCTTAATTACACAATTAACAGCTACACACAACGTTGTATTGCTGGATCTTCCAAGTGCTCCGCAAAACCTCTTTCTAAAATATTAACATCAATCTTATCAGCATTCAAAGCTGGGCTTCAAAGTTATAGCGCAACTACATATTCTAGAGGTGGTGTGAATCGGATGTGGATACTTAAAAATTCGAAAGATTTGTTAGAGTACATACAATCTAAGACTCTTTCATCTTGCAGTAGTATTAAAACATTTGACTTTTCTACACTTTACACAAGTATTCCCAATTCCAAACTAAAAGACAAATTAAAAAAATTGATCCTGCTTTGTTTCATAAAAAAGAATGGCCAACGTAGATACAAGTATCTTGTCTTTGGGAGGGATAAATCGTACTTTGTAAAAAACACTTCAATTCAATCAAAAAATTCTTGAAACTGACGTTAATAAGATGCTTGATTTCTTGATTGACAACATATTTGTTACGTTTAGGGGACGTGGTTTTCAACAAACAATCGGCATTCCCATGGGAACATACTGTACTCCTCTTCTTGCCGACTTGTTCCTTTAAATATATGAGGCTGACTTAATACAAAAGCTTCTTAGGAATAATGAAAAGAAGCTAGCATTATCCTTAAACTTCACTTTCCCCTATATAGATGATGTCCTCTCATTAAGTAATTCAAAGTTTGGTGACTATGCTGAAAGCATCTATCCCATCGAGCTTGACATAAAGAATACAACAAGTACAGTTAAGTCTGCCTCATATCTTGTCTTACACCTAGAAATTAACAATGAGGGTCCGTTGAGAACAAAACTTTACGACAAGAGATGATTTCAGCTTCTCACTTGAGAACTTTCCATGTCTTATAGCAACATTCCAGCAGCACCTGCATATGGAGTATATATCTCCCAGTTGAAACGATATTCCAGGACTTGCATTTCCTATCATGATTTTCCGATACTCACAAGGAAGCTACTAAACCAAGAGTTCCAAGTGGTGAAGTTGAAATCATCCCTTTGAAATTTTTACGGACGCCATCATGAGTTGGTTGAACCTTGTAGAATATCAGTTTCACTGATGACGACAGGTATGTTCAAACTGTCATAACCACAATCCCATCCTATTTTCTCTGAATGTGACCTACCGAATTAGATCTATTACTGGATTTGTTCTTACATGAGTAACACAACAGGTTTCCTTTCCAGAGCACCTGATATCACCCCTTTTATTTTTTTAATTGTTCATCCTCCTTTTTATACGACCGCAAAAATTGAAAATTTTTTGGTCGTATATTGGTATGACGTTGGCGTCGTCGTCGTCGTCGTCCGGCGTCTGGCGTCGTCCGGCGACGTCCGAAGACACATTGGTTTTCGCACTCTAACTTTAGTTTAAGTGAATGGATCTCCATGAAATTTTACCATAAGGTTCAATACCACGAAAGGAAGGTTGGGATTGATTTTGGGGGTTATGGTACCAACAGTTAAGGAATTAGGGGCCAAAAAGGGGCCAAAAATAAGCATTTTTGTAACTTCCAGACAATAACTTGTGTGTAAGTGTATGGATCTCTCTGACATTGTACCACAAGGTTCCATATCACAAAGGGAAGGCTGTAATTGATTTTGGGGGTAATTGCCTCAAAATTTTAGGAATTAGGGGCCAAAAAAGGGGCAAAAAACAAGCATTTTTCTAGTTTCATGACAATAACTTGTGTGTAAGTGTTTGGATATTTCTGAAATTGTACTACAAGGTTCCATATCACAAAGGGAAAGCTGGAATTGAGTTTGTGGGTAATTGCCCAAAACGTTTAGGAATAGGGGGCCAAAAAGGGGCCAAAAATAAGCATTTTTCTAGTTTCCAGACAATAACTTGTGTTCAAGTGTATGGATCTCTCTGAAATTGTACTGCAAGGTACCATACCACAAAGGGAAGGCTGGGATTGAGTTTGGGGGTGATGAATCATAAGGGGGGTTCAAAAAATTTGGGGGGGGATTTTTTTTTTTCTTTTTTTTTCCTTTTTTTTTTTCTTTTAAAATTTTCCATTTTAAGTTGGTTATTTCTGATTAATATTTAAAAGCAAATAATAATGATATGGTAGGAGATACACACCAAACAGGATGTGTAAATTATTATATAATAAGTATTGTGCAATAGCAAGAAATTTTCAATTGCACAGTATTGCACAATTGCAAGAAATCTTCAATTGCACAGTATTGCGCAATAGCAAGAAATCTTCAATTGCACAGTATTGCGCAATAGCAAGAAATATCCAATAGCACAATATTGCGCTATAGCAAGAAATTGTCAATTGTACAGTATTGCACAATAGCAAGAAATATTCAATTGCACAGTATTGTGCAAAAGAAGATACTTCGTATAAATTGCTTATTTCTTGATCAATTTCAATGGGGTTTTATTCTTGAATTCTTGGGGTTCTTTAATATGCTGAATCTAACCAAGTATTAAGTTTTTGGATTTTGGGCCCCGTTTTTAAATTGGTCCACATTGAGGTCCAAAGGGTCCAAAATATAACTTTGTTTGATTTCATCAAAAATTGAATTATTGGGGTTCTTTGATATGCCGAATCTAACCGTGTATTTAGATTCTTAATTTTTGGTTCCGTTTTCAAATTGGTCTACATTAAGGTCAAAAGGGTCCAAAATTAAACTTAGTTTGATTTTAACAAAAATTGAATTTTTAGGGTTCTTTGATATGCTGAATCTAAACATGTATTTAGATTTTTGATTATGGGCCCAGTTTTCAAGTTGGTCCAAATCGGGGTCCAAAATTAAACTTTGTTTGATTTCAACAAAAATTGAATATATGGGGTTCTTTGATATGCTGAATCTAACCATGTATTTAGATTTTTGATTTTTGGGCCCCGTTATCAACTTTGTCCACATTGAGGTCAAAAGGGTCCAAAATTCAACTTTGTTTGATTTCATCAAAAATTGAATTCTTGGGGTTCTTTGATATGCTGAATCTAACCATGTATTTAGATTTTTTATTTGTGGACCCGCTATCAAATTGGTTCATATTGAGGTCAAAAGGGTCCAAAATTAAACTTTGTTTGATTTCATCAAAAATTGAATTATTGGGGTTCTTTGATATGCCAAATCTAACCGTGTATTTAGATTTTTAATTTTGGGTCCCGTTTTTAAATTGGTCTACATTAAGGTCCAAAGGGTCCAAAATTAAACTTAGTTTGATTTTAACAAAAATTGAATTCTTGGGGTTCTTTGATATGCTGAATCAAAACATGTGTTTAGATTTTTGATTATGGGCCCAGTTTTCAAGTTGGTCCAAGTTGGGGTCCAAAATTTAACTTTGTTTGATTTCAACAAAAATTGAATATATGGGGTTCTTTGATATGCTGAATCTAAACATGTATTTAGATTTTAGATTTTTGGCCCAGTATTCAAGTTGGTCCAAATTGAGGTCCAAAATTAAACTTTGTTTGATTTCAACAAAAATTGAATATATGGGGTTCTTTGATATGCTGAATCTTACCATGTATTTAGATTTTTTATTTTGTGGGCCCGCTATCAAATTGGTTCATATTGAGGTCAAAAGGGTCCAAAATTAAACTTTATTTGATTTCATCAAAAATTGAATTATTGGGGTTCTTTGATATGCCAAATCTAACCGTGTTTTTAGATTTTTAATTTTGGGTCCCGTTTTTTAAATTGGTCTACATTAAGGTCCAAAGGGTCCAAAATTAAACTTAGTTTGATTTTAACAAAAATTGAATTCTTGGGGTACTTTGATATGCTGAATCTAAACATGTGTTTAGATTTTTGATTATGGGACCAGTTTTCAAGTTGGTCCAAGTTGGGGTCCAAAATTAAACTTTGTTTGATTTCAACAAAAATTGAATA